GGGGTTTGTCATTGGGCCTTTCTGTAACCCCCCTTTTCCAGCTGGAGAACTAGCCCTATCGGGTTGGTTTCCAGTAAAAATTCAGAGAAACTGATACTCATCATTGACCTATCCACACCTCACTCTTCAGCCATTCCCAGCCTTAACTCATTGATTCCCTCTGAGGAATTTTCCCTTCAATACTCCACTATTGATGACGCTATTGCGGCTATCAGATCGGCAGGGTTGGGGGCCTGACTTAGCAAGACCGATATTGTAAATGCTTTTAAATTGTTACCTATACACCCCTCTTTGTGGCACCTGCATGGTGTTAAATGGCAAGGTCCCTACTACTTTTTACAAAGCTCACCTTTGGGGCCAAGAGTAGTCCGAGGATTTTTGACACGTTCGTGGAAGCTTTGTCCTCCTTAATACCTGCAGGTGTCCAAATGTGATACATTACTTAGACGATTTTTTGTTCATCAAATCTAATTCCACCCCCCACGTAGTCTAGACAAAGCAATCAAGTTATTCACCTCCCTTGGTGTCCCCGTGTCACCCACTAAAACTGAAGGGCCGGACACGATCATCAGTTTTCTTGGTATTTTGCTGGTGTGACGAGACCAATCTCGCCACATTGCATTGGAGAAGCCTGGTTGCTCGCCTGCTGCCTCTGGACTATGGCCCCCTTTTAAAAGACTTTATTTCGCCTGCTGAAAAGCTGTATTCGTGCTTTTCTGCCGGTTGTTCGGTAGATTCAATCTACCGAACAACCGCACGAATGAATAGACCACCTGGGAGCTGGAGTGTGCCGGCAATTAACCTCCCTGAAGCTGCGGTTAACCACAGCTTAATTGACGAATGCTGGGTGGCCGCCATTCGTATCCCGAACACGAGGTCGCGGCCATTTTAAACATACGAATGCACATGCCCCTATTTTCATGGAACTAAAATCGGACACAGTTTTGCGCGAACACCGCTGAAGCCGCCGACCTCCCTTCTTGTTCGGTGGAAGTGCACGAACGGCCAGTGTTCGGTAGTTTTGTTTGAATGTGTTATACCCCAGATAGGAATCCCATGGAGCCCATTCGTATGAAACTGACTGTAAAGACTTTGGCTCCATGGCGATTAAACTGTATTCGTGTGGTCTGAGCGCCATTCGCTTAATAATGTGCGCTCAGACCTGAGCTATCTGGGGATATGTTACATGTCTGTGTTTTATGTAATAAATGTTACTTTATGTATTTTAAAGTATAATACTGGTTTTGTGTCCCCACATGTGTAATGGAATTTTGCCTTTGTCTTGGGAGATAATTGAGTTACTTCTCAATTATCTCTCAGGGCAGAGGGGAGGAAGCCAGGATGCATTGTGGGAATATACTGTGACTGTGTGTCCTATTTGTCTACTTGTCTGTCTTTTGTCACAGTCTCCCATTTGGTCCCCTAGGGGAGTGTCCACCAGGTGAGAGACCTGCATAAATACTGGGCAGGTAGCCCAACACGGAGCTCTGTCTCGTCTTTGGGGGGATTTACTGTATGCTGATAGAGACTGATTGCCAGGAGTGTAAGCCGCTTGGGTGCTTTTCCTGTTCGTCTGCTAGCAGCTATTCGTGAGGTTCCAGTTCGGGTGTTTGGAGCATTCCCTTGTATGCAGTTCGGGTGTTTGGAGCATTCCCTTGTATGCAGTTCGAGTGTTTGGAGCATTCCCTTGTATGCAGTTCGGGTGTTTGGAGCATTCCCTTGTATGCAGTTCGGGTGTTTGGAGCATTCCCTTGTATGCAGTTCGGGTGTTTGGAGCATTCACTTATTGGCGGTTCGTGTGTTTGGTGTTCTGCAGTAGCTGTGCCTGCATCTCTGGAAAGGGGGCCGATCGCCTAAACGTTTTTTTTCCCCTTTTGTGCAAAACGGTCCGTTACAGCTGGATTCATCAACTATGATGGCCAGCCTCCCTAGAGTTAAGATCGATCACATCTGCCACAATATTAGTCACTACATGCACAGGGGGTCTTGCAATCATAAAGAATTACAGTCACTTTTGGGGTCACTAAATTTCGCCATGCGCATAATCCCCCAGGGCAGGGCTTTCATTTCCAGGCTCCTCGCCCTGTTCCCCACCTTCTCCAACGACTATACCCGCATATCCTTGGACTGTCCAGCGATTGCTGACCTTCAGATGTGGTACAAATTCCTCTCGGACTGGAATGGGAGGAGCATGTTCCTCCTACAGATTGATTCACAGTCACCTGTTTGGACAGACGCGGCATCATCCGCGGGATATGCGGCCATTTTCGGCACAGAATGGCTCTGGGGGACATGGCCGGCAGAAACTCTGGGCATTGAGGGGTTTTACATTAACTCAGCCCTATTTGAAGTATACCCCATAGTTGCGGCTGCTGTAACTTGGTGTAGGTTGTGGAGCGGGCAGTCCGTGCGCTGCTTTTCCAACAATCTGGCAATATGCCACATTATCAATAAGGGCCGCTCTTCCTTCTTGGCGATTATGAATTTCCTTAGGAAACATTATATGCTCCCATGTTCCCAGTACATTCAATACGGCAACTGACCAGCTTTCTCGCTTTCAATTTCAGGCCTTCAGACTGTCCCTACCCTCGGCAGCTTGCCTGGCAACCCCGGCTCCAACTTTCCAAGACCTTATCATGGAGTAGATGAACTACTTCAGCACAGCCATGCTCTCACCAAGTTAGCCTTATCCACCAGCACTCAACACGCGTATCACAGAGCTTTTCACTTGTACAAACAATTTATGTCTGACCATCACCTAGCCAACTGGTTTGAGGTTTCATCACTGATAGCTTTTGCCTCTTTTTGCCACCTTAAATTTAAATTCTCACATAACACTATTAAACTGTACCTCACGGGTATACAACACCATATGTACTGCTCCTTCCCTAACCATAAGGGTTTTTTAACTTCTTACCCCATCAGAACATTGCTCAAGGGCATAGCGAAAGCAGACGGTCCAGCAACACTCAAGAGACTGGCCAGTGACATGGTGGCACATGGTGAGAACAATGGATGGCGGACATTTTAACTCACAGACACTGTTTGGACTTTTCAACACGGTGCCATCTCGCCGGTATTTGGTGCACAGAGGCATCGTGCAGTGGTTTTGGACTATACAACAGGGGACACATTATACAGTAATTGTTTTTTATGGAGTTATTGCATGTTTTGGGGTCCCTGTGATGTGTTTTATAATACTGTATTTCTCTGCCTGTGATAATTAGATTTACCATTGTGTTCAGTAATCATATCAGAGGCAGAGGGGAGGATTTTGTGTGGGAGTGTCTGTGTGTATTGTACGGATTGCTTGGCTGTGTTTCAAAACCCTGTGGGCAGCACTATATTTGTGGATTGTGAATAAAAGAGGCTGTATGTGCCAGTCCAGTCAGTTCTGCTTGACCTCAAAACGAAGTGTCGTCTCGTTATTGGGGGGATTGGATTGTATGCTGATTGCCAGGAGTGTAAGTTGATTGTATGCTTTTCCTGTTCAGCTGCTTACAGCATTCGTATGCTTGAGGGCATTCGTATGTGTAACGGACCGTTTTGCACACAAGGGGTAAAAACCGTTTAGGCGATCGTCCCCCTTTCCAGAGATGCAGGCACAGCTACTGCAGAACACCAATCCGCCGAACAGGAAACCATACGAATGCTGTAAACAGCCGAATAGGAAAACCATACGAATAGGTTTACACTCCTAGCAGTCAAACTGGAACAGCATACAGTAAATCCCCCAAGAATGAGACAAAGCTCCGTGTTGAGGGTCAAGCAGTGAACAGACAGAGCTGTGGGTTTATTGTGCTTATGTACACATTCTTACACATTAGTACCACCCACATGGTTTTGGAACACAACCAATAAACACATACAATACACTCAGACACTCCCACACAAATTCCTCCCCTCTGCATGTGATTCAATTACCTTACACAATGGGTAATGTAATTTAGCACAAGCAGAAAAATAAAATTTTTCCACATTATTCATAACTTGAAAAGTATGCATCACATTCACATAAAACTTACATTTTCAGAATCAGCATACTCCAAATACAAACATACGTCAAAATCATACAAATTGGTCCAGTGGTTCAAAAGATAGATCGTAGTCCTTTGTGACCACAGGAAGCATGGCTTTTCTGCCCAAAACCAGTTCCACAGAGTCTTCTATCCTGGAGATAATTAGAAGTAATCCAATTATCTCCAAAGACAGAGGCAAAACTCCATTGAACACATGGCAGCAAAAGACAGTAAAATACAATAAAATACACAAGGTTACATTTATGACATAAAATACAGACATGCAACATATGCCCAGATAGCTTAGGTCTAAGCGCACATTATTACTGAATGGCGCTCAGAGCACACACATACAGTTCAATTGCCATGGAGCCAAAGTCTTTCCCATAGTCTTTCATTATACGAATGGGCTCCATGGCATAGCTATCTGGGGTATCACTGCTCAAACAGGGCAAGCACCAAATGACCCAGCTTTCTTGTCTTTGCAGGGGAAAATCAAGCCTTTTAACATGGGGCCATAATCCAAAGGCAACAGGCGAGCAACCAGGCTTCTCCAATGCAATGTGGCGAGATTGCTCTCGTCACAGTATGCTTCTCCGGTTCGGTGGTTGTGGTGTCTGCTGCAGTGCTTGGAGTCCTCAGGAAGCGCTAGGAGCATCCTTCAACGGAGGTACTCAGTCGGGGTGCCAGGTGATCCGTTACATCCATATCATATGAGAATGCCCCGAACACAAATTGGAAGTTGTGGGTGGGGCTATAGACCTACTTAAGGGACTCCCCCTTTTCCCTACTTACCTTCGTTGGTCTAGACGAACAGCTCCACTCTCCACTCCCATTATTTATATTTCCTCTATGTAAGTCCACTTTATTTACCGGCCTACAGCATACATCGGTTTTGGCACACCTCAACCAACTATTCCTTTTATTTTACTCCTCTTCACCAGCGTATTCCATATCATATGAGAATGCCCCGAACACAAATATATATATCTATATATTTTAATTGGGGGAGCCCCCAAAATATTGGGCTAATAAAAAAAGACAACTCTGTTCCGCAGAGTAGCTGTTGACATTATAGTTGCGCAGGAAGTTTGTTGACTCTAGAGAACCTCGGGCAAATCACACATCTCCGTGGTGGCGACTTTGCATGCGGATGTCATCCATATCAACTTTCGATGCCAGTTTCTGCGCCTACCATGGTGACCATGGATAACGGGTAATTGGGGTTCTATTCCATACAGGGACCCTGAGAAATAGCTACCACATGCAAGGAAGGCAGCAGGCGTGCAAATGACCCACTCCCGACGCGGGAAGGTAGTGACAACAAATAACAATACAGGACTCTTTAGAGGCCCTGTTATTGTAATGAGTCTACTTGAAATCCTTTAACTCTGATCAATTAGAGGGAAGTCTGGTGCAGAGCCACTGACCCGTGCGTGCTGCAGCTGAAACTCCCCTATCGCCTGCTGCTGCTCGCACAGTCTCATGAGGCAGTGAGCGGGAAGGCCGAAGTTACGCTGCAGTGCAGACAGGCGAGCAGCAGCATGGTGAGAATGCCCAAAGCGCGCACAGCGGCTACAGTGAATGTCACATCCTGTTCCAAGTTGCGGATCAGTCTGGTGATGGCTTCTGATATCCAGTACTCTTTTAACTGAAGCTGCATCAAGGTCCTGGTATGTGGCCGCACAAATGCTGGTGCTCAACACAAGAGGGCATGCGGTTACCCTGCACCAGACCCTGCTAATCCATTCCACAATGTGACTGTCAGGGTGGCGGTCCGGTGCCCGGGACACAGACACTTTCTGGGCGGCGGTGTGTGGATCGGGACCCAGTCAGGGACGTATTAGCTGCGAGGCAAACAAGGCAATTGCCTTGGACGCATTTTTCAGGGGGCGGCAAAAAACGCCGCCCCCAAATGCCCAGGGCAAATGCCTAGTTAGCCTTGTGGCTAACAGATATGCCGGGCGCTGGGCGGCGCTGGCTGATGGTCGGGCGGGCGGCTGGCGAGGGAGCACTTCCTCTGAGCGGTCTGCTCAGCTCCCTCGCGCGCCGCACAGTGAGGCTTGGAGTCGGAATATGACGTCATGTTCCGGCTCCCAGCCTCACTCTGCGGCACGCAAGGGAGCTGAGCAGGAAGAGCTCCCTCGCCAGCTGCCCGCCCAGCAGCCAGCCCATCAGCCCGACCGGCAGCCACTGGACCACCAGGGAGAAAGAGAGAACCCCCTTCCCAAAGGTAAGGGGGGGGGTTAAAAAAAAAAAGTGTTAATGTGAGTGAGTGTGTGTCTAACTGTGTGTGTGTGTGTGTGTGTGTGTGTGTGTGTCTGTGTATTTAGAAGGTGGGGCGGGGGGGGGAAGGGTTGGGTGTGGGTGGCGCGGGGGTAGGGGGGGGCCTGAGTTTTGTCCTGCCTAGGGCAGCACAAAACCAGGATACACCACTGGACCCAGTATGCCTGAAGATATGAGTAGGAGTCACAGTGTGGAGATCCTGGTTGCAGGTTCTTGACGGACACTGGTAACATTGACTGCAGTAGTTTGGGTACCCTTTTGTGTCACAGGACGGGGACAGGGCTGGCAGTTTCAAGGCTGTCTTGCCGGGATGACAGGATAAGTCCATATGGTACCAGACAGAAGGGATCTTGGCCTAGGTGGACGAGTTGGGCAGAGAGAGATGAAAATGCACTCTTTTCCCACAGTATAGACATAGACCATGGGCTCTCCTGCGGTCTTTTTCCTTAGGAGGCAGTCTAGTTCTGGTAAATCCGATCTCCATGGGTTCCTCCATGTCCACTGGAGTTTCACGGTTCGCTTGAGTATAAACAGGGTTACAAGGCGGGTCCCTGAAGGTGGGTTAACGCTGCAACTTGATGGGGACTTGGTAGGAGTCCTTTTTTCTAGGTAACTGAGATCTGCGGGTATATGGAGCAGGCTTGGGAGTAGATTTCCTGGAGGTAACGAACTGAGAGTCCATTGCAAAAAGGAGTTCACAATCCAGTCTGAATGCTGTGTAGAAGGAACGGGAACCATCAAATCTGTCAGGCATCACAACAAACATCTCTGGATAAGCAGGTACGGGACTGGTCAAACTGTGTCTTTAAGAAATAATACTTCTCGCTGCAGCTCCGAAACAGTCTGGGTCAGGCTTGATACTTGCTGAGCAAGGGAGGTGAACAGCTTACATATCTCTGCAAACTCCATATTGGTCAGTTCATTGACTCTGGTTCCTGTATTGCTGTTTCGTGTTCCAGTGTTCTCCTGTTGGTTCCTGACCTTGGCTTGTTATTTCGTGTATCCTGACTTCTGGCATCCTCTGACCTCAGCTCTCTACTCGATTATCCTGATTTCTGGCACCTACTGACCTTTGGCTTACCCACAACGATTCTCCTGTTTATGTCCGTATCTGTACTGCGACTTGGAGCATCATCCTGCACAGCCCCCGTGCACAGACTCACAGGCCAGGTGAGTTCTTCCCTGACCACCATGGCCTGTGTTTAATTGCAAGGGTGCGGGAAGACGGTGATCATATATCTGCGCTACAGACTCCCAACTTCAACATCAGGCATACTGGGTCGTCCGACCGCCACCCAGACAGTGTCTGGGTCCTGGTCACCGGACTGCCCACCTGACTTTGAAACTACGAATGGATAGTTATATCTGGTACGAACCCGAACTTTGCAGTTCGGGTTTGCTCAACTATTATGGATCCTTTGATCGCTACATGTATTACTTGGATAACTGGTAATTCTCATGCTAATACATGCCGACAAGCGCTAGGGGATGGCCGCTCCGCTTTTGCACCCTGCTCCCTCTTATGCGGTGCTGGTGCATCTGTGTGACTAGCGCCTCTTCCTCCAAACTGCACACATCACTCGCATGACCTTGATTACATGTGGGGTCTAGGACCTCATCATCCTCCACATCATCTTCCACCCACTCCTCAACTGTGCTCTCCTTGCCGGTATGCACACTGCAGAAAGCCACAGCAGTTGACACCTGTGTTTTTCCAGCATGTAAAGACTGCAAAGGACATATGGAAATTGTTTGAGAATTTCCTCCAGGCAACAGTTTTCCCTATAACCTGACATCTCAGTTTGACTTGTGAGTGGGTCAGTGGGAATAGGGGGAGCCCCCTTAGGTAGTGAGCAGGGAGCCCCCTTAGGTAGTGAGCTTTCCGGTTTGGTCCGCTGCGCGGCGGCCTCATGTGGTGCGGTTTGCACAAGGGGTCATGGGTCGCCCGTGCCTAGTGTCGCTAGTGTTTCTTCAGTGGGGTCGGGTGCTACCGCCACGTTTGCTGTAGGAGCGATAATAGGCGCTGTTGCGGTTCCTGCAACGACGTGTGACTCTCTGGGCATTTTCGCCGTTGCGCGGGGGGGGTCTGCTTTTGGGGCTGGGACGCTGTTTTTTTTTTTTTCACCTGTCACAGGTCATTTAAAATTTTTAAAAAATATAAAAATAAAAATGGGAAGGGAGAATATGGTTGAGATTGTCTCTCCCCTGCCAATGGAGGAAGCTCCTCCACTGCGGGAGGACGGCGATCAATCCATTTCCGGAGGGTCCCCAAGATTTTTCGGTTATTGGATTTGCGCATTTCAATCAGAAGGGGCGCCTCACTAGTGCTCCGCATTGTACTGCTACCAGGACACCATTTGGAATGATGGTCGTACCTGTGGCAGAGGTGTGACAAGCAATTTCGTCAACTTTGGCGGTGAGCCCCTCAATTTTCTGGGACCAGATGGACATGGCATCTGGCTCCCCATTATGACCTGTGCCGCTGCAGGGTGTTTTCTCGTATTTTCTTGGGGAGGCTGGTGAGGGCGGATCATCCGCCTCCCCGGCAGAGCGGCAGAGGTCAGGCTGTTGTTGCACATTTACTGACAATCATTGTACATGGGGTGCTTCGTGCACCGAATGCTACGCCTGCGGGGGTGCTCATCCCATCCCACGGGGACAAGCTAGTGAGATGGGGATCTGGGTACTACGGTCAATGACGCCAGTTGTCGTAAGCTCAATGTGCCTGGGGCTCGTCCGTTCTAAGATCCGCTGAGCAACCATCGTCCTGTTGGAAGGTTGTGGGCACGGGTTTTGGATTCCTTTTTCTTTCGCTCCCCCTTCGTTGCTGGTTCAGAACCTTTGGTCAGTCCGGGTTTTTCCCGCATGTGGTCGACAACTCTTGTCAGGGAGGTGTCTCTGGGTCGCATGGCCGGTACCTTTAGCGACCACCCTTTTACTGGACTGGCTAGTCTCCCCCTTGGGCGTGGTGCCAAGGAGGAGCAAGGGAAATACTGTTAGATTCTTCATTTTCTCAGACATTTGTTGGGTTTTTAGGTGCGTGAGGGCATCTCTTTGGGACGTTGGGGCATCAAGATTGATTCTGTGGCGGGTTTAGGCCTCTTGCCTCGCATCCAGTTTGTGGCTTATGGCGGGACGTGGCTGGCCCTAGGGTTTTTATAAGATCCGACTGCGTGACGTCTGGGGTTGCCAGAACCTGACGCTTCATTCAGGAGTCTCTGCCTCTCCGTCCAGGCCGCTTATGATGGCAGGTCCCACTGGCAGGCGCTTGAGGTCTCTAACTCTGTCCTACACCTCTTCCTGAGGTGTGGCTTGGTTGAGCTTGGGGTGAATCTGTGCCCTAGCTGGTGTGCTGCCTGTTGGCCGGACGGTTAGCATGTCTCTGGCCTTGCAAGGAATGGGCATCAGGGTCCCAGTTTCAGGATAAATGGGGTGTTTTTTCACTGCGCACTCTGAAGGGAGGTTTAAGCTGTCAATCGTCCGACGGCCTCCTCCCCTCCAGTAGGTGGCTTGCTGCGGCATTTTGGAGCTCTGATGCTTATGTCTAAATGTGTCTTGGGGGGCAGAGCATATTCCTGGCATTCACGTTGTTGTGGTGGATACTCTCCCTCGTTCGCGATGGTTGGGTTTTTTGGCTGTCAGCCTGCGGGCGGAGCTGGAAAGGACTCCATGCCTGGTGGAGATGTGGTCGCTTGGTCTGGCAGATTGCGGGATTTGTCCGTGGGTCAGTCTCTCTGGCCTAGTTGACCCGGTACAGTAAGGCATGGACATGGTTTCTGTGGTGTAATGGTTGTCACGTACACGTAAACAGCTTTGCGTTTGTTCTGGTGGGAGCACGCTCCAGGGGGGTTTTGATGTCGGGAAGGTCGGGCTACGCTATGCTCATGACAAGATTGGGTGGGGTTCCCCCTCTGGTCTGGTACCTATTTCGAGTTCTGTTTTCTTTGTATTGGCCTATTCCCTTGAATTCGTTGGGGCCATGCGTGTTGGGGAATTGGTGATTCCTAGTAGGCCATGCGGTGGTGGGGTATTGTT